TGCAAAGCCATCAACGATAATGTCTGTGTCTCTCAATAGATTCCTGTGTTTTCTTATATTTCCTTTGCCCTTTGTGTCTCTTCATGCAGGCCACAGGGAACTATGCTGCCTTTCTAGGTGTTCTAATTGGTCCTTCTTCACCTTAAAATGGAATGCAGCATTTCAGATGTGATATGATCAGCACTAAGTAAACAAAAATGGTCTCCTAACTTCTCCTTTACTGAAATTGATTGTTAATATTTTGGTTGTTGTGGTCTCGGTATTTATTATTTATTTGTTATAATGCCTTTCATTCAGTAGATTTTTACATTCACAACACTATCTAACCCCAAAACATTATTTTAAAGCCCAGTTTCAATCTTACTGTTATCTCAAAGCATATTAATAGGGATGCATTTATTTGCTCTAACTAGAATACCTATTAGATAGTTACTTAGTCCCTCCTCCTCATACCTGTGATAATGAATTTATTTCAGCTTGGCAGTATTAGTGTTGGTATTGACCTGTCACCAGATGACCAGATGATATGTATTTCGGTCTTTATAGTATTATTTCATAGTTTGCAAAATCAAGATGCATTCCTCTGAAACTGGCTAGCTGGTTTGGAAGTAAAGCAGTTGTTTCTTTTCTTGTCAGTCCTTCATCTCCTCACCCCCAGGGGAATCAGGATGCCCCACATTATGTTTAAAAGCCTAAACACATCAAACTTTTGTTCTTCTGTTGGATTTGAAAGGGGGACATTATTAGCTCTGTCTTGATGTAGCAGGGGCTCTGAAAGTCTATTTGGATAACACTGAAGATTGGAGGAAATGTGACTCTGTCTGTATGTTTTAAGCCCCTAAGGTAAGATCAGAAAGCGTCTGGGGCAGTGAGAGCCAAATAGTTGAAGTCATACATTAATTATGGTCATGAATCATTTTTATTTTTAAAGTCTTTACCATTTGACAAGGTTGTTTGCATAGTACCAGTGAGTTTCAGGCAGCGTTTTCCCCCTTTTAAAGTAACAGGCTATTTTGTTGATTTCTGCTCTGAATTGATAATGCCTATTATTATCAGAATTCTGATAACATTTTTAGTAAAAATTGCACATTTCCTTACCTAAGTGAGTGGTCTTTATTTGATTTTTGTTTTGAATATAATATTTAAAAATTTTAAATACAGAAAACTATCTCCTTAATATCTCAATCCCCCACTGATATCAGTAAAAAATAATCACATCTTAGGACTGAGCTTTTATATTCAGGAGTTAGTTGCCGTTCAGTTCGCAAATATATACTGAGTGCCTCCTTTGTGCCACATCCTGTGCTAAGCACTGGGAATGTATTTGAAAATGAGAGGTCCCCCCCGCCCCGAAAGATCTAATAAGGAAATAAACAGTTGCTATAAAATATAGTTCTGTAATCTTTGTTAGTGGTATTTATATACATGATGCTGCAGATTTCTATAGAAAGGAGTGCCTGTACCTGTCTGGAATAGTTCAGAAAGGTCTTTGAAGAAGAGGTTGTGTTTGAGCTGCCTCTTTAATGGACTCAAGACTTTCCTTATCTGTTAAGAGGTAGGGAAGACTTACAGGCGGATAGGTCAGCTCACTCAAAGTTACAAACAAGAAATGGTGTGGTGTGTTTAGGGAATTGTCGGTGGTTTGGTTTTGTTGGAACTGAGCTCGCAAGGTAAGGAATATCAGGAAATAATGCTGCAGATGTTTGCTGGGACCGCATTACAAGGGGCCTTTCCTTGCTTTTAAATTTCTTTAGAGCAAACTTTGTAAGAGAGTATTACTATCAGAAGAGTGTATACACATACACTCCCAGAGCAAGAGGCAATAGGATGGAATATAACCTCTATTGGAGGAGCTTTGAGGAAGTTGCTTGTATAACCGATCTTATTAGCAACCTAGCACTAATAAGAGTTGCTCCTTTAGATGATCTAAGAAATCCTCAATAACTGTCAGGCAGTTTCTGAAAGTGCAAAATACGTCATGAATATTTTTAGTGCATAGTGTCATCATCATCATAATGTTGGCAGAGGTATTGATGCCATCAAATCCCTAATGAAATTAACCTTGTATATAGGATATCTTTCAGATTGGGATTGTTGAGTAATTTTTAAAAACTGAGGTAAAACTTGCATACAGTAAAATGTGTAGATCTTAAGTTTAAATTCCGTGTATAACTGTGTACCCTCATCCCAGTAAAGATATATAGGATATTTCCATCACCTCAGAAAGTTACTTTGCCCCACCCCCACCCCCGTTCTCTACCAGTCAATTCCACCCCACATGGACAACCAGCGACTCTTGATTTCTGTCACTATGGATTGCTTTTACCTGTTCTTGAACTATGTATAAATGGAGTCATACAGTATACTTTTTGTTACTGGCTTTTTCACTCAACATCATTGTTGTTGACATTCATTCATATTGTTGTGTATATATCAATGGTGTGTTCCTTTTTATTGATGAGTGGAATTTCATGATTATACCTCAATTTGTTAATTGATTCTCCTGTTTGATGGACATTTGCATTGTTTTCTATGAATATTCTTATACAAATCATTGTGTAGACATACGTTTTTATATTTCTTGAGTAAATGCTTAGGAGTAGAAATACTGGGCCATAGGTTAGATGGCTGTTAAACTTTATTAGAAACTATTTTCCAAATGATAGTACTCTTTTACACTTTGCCAGCAATGGATGCAAGTTCCAGTTGCTCCACATCCTTGTTAGTAATAGATGTTGTCATTTAAATTTTTTTTAGCGTTTATTTATTTTTGAGAAAGATACAAAGAGCATGAGTGGGGAAGGGGCAGAGAGAGAGGGAGACACAGAATCCCAAGCAGGCTCCAGGCTATGGGCTGTCAGCACAGAGCCCAGTGCAGGGTGAGATCATGACCTGAGCTGAAGTTGGACACCTAACCGACTGAGCCACCCAGGCGCCCCAATGTTCATTTTAATTTTAGCTATTCTAATAGATGTGGAATGTATCTTGTTGTGATTTTAATTTGCATTTTTATGATGACTAAGATGTTGAATACCTTTTCTTGTACTTTTTGGCCGCTCTTGTATCACCTTTTGTGAAGCATTTTACTTTTTTGCCCATTTTTAACTGGATTGTCTCTTTGTGACTGATTTATAAGAGTTTTTTATGTACTCCAGACGCAGTCCTTGGTCAGATAGATGTTTTGCAAGTATTTTCTCTCACTCTGTGGACTGCTTATCATTTCTTAATGGCATCTTTAGACAAACAGACATTTTTTATTATTGTGAAGTCCAATTTATCTATTTTTAATTTTATGGTTAGTGCTTTTCATGCCTTATCTATGAAATCTTTACCTCTTCTAAGGTTGTGAGAGATTCTCTATGTTTCTTCTACAAGTTTATGATTTTAGTTTTTATGTTTACTATGCTCTCCTTGAATTAATCTTTTGAATGTGCTGTGAGGTAGGGAATGAAATTAATTTTCCCCCTATGTTTGTCCAATGTTCCAGCACCATTTGTTTTAAAAAATTTCTTTTCTCCGTTAATTTGCCTGGATTCCTTTGTCCAAAATCAATTGGCCATATATGGGTAGCTCTATATCTTTATATATAATCTTTATGCTGTTCCATTGATCTATTTTTTGATCCTTATGCCAGTAGCATATTGTTTTGATTGTATAGTTTTATTTTTTTTAAGTTTATCTTGGTTTATCTCTTCTAGATTCTTTGTTTTTCTGTATAGATTATAGTAGCAATACGCTTCTTAATTTCTTCCAAAGAACCAAAGCCTGTTGAGATTGTGAAACTATTGACCCATATATAGAAATATCACTGAATTTTTTTGTATGTTGACCTTGTATCCTGTGACCTTATTAGCTCTAGTAGTTGTTTTGTAGATTTCTAATGATTCTCTATATGAAAATCATGTCATCTAAAAATACAGTTTGACCATTTTTAATATGTATGTGTATAAGAAATATATAAGCTATATTTGAAGACCAAGAGACAAAGAAAAACACAAACCCATAATGTAAGCAAAAAAGAAAAATAGTTTCTGATTTTTTTCAATGTTCCTTGTTTCAAAGTGGCTGCTGCTTTAAATTAGTCTTTTTAACTGGGATTATTGTTAATTCTTTTTTTCTTTGTGGATACCCATAAGTAATATTCAGGTTTGTCATCATCGATGTTCTCCTGGTGACTTTAGCAATCCACTTAATTTCCTTGGGCGTCAGTTTTCACATTTTTTTTTTTTCAACGTTTATTTATTTTTGGGATAGAGAGAGACAGAGCATGAACGGGGGAGGGGCAGAGAGAGAGGGAGACACAGAATCGGAAACAGGCTTCAGGCCCTGAGCCATCAGCCCAGAGCCCGACGCGGGGCTTGAACTCACGGACCGCGAGATCGTGACCTGGCTGAAGTCGGACGCTTAACCGACTGCGCCACCCAGGCGCCCCAGTTTTCACATTTTTAACATGATGGGATTCAACTAGATTATTTTCTCTCTAAAGTGTCTTCCAGACTCCTGTGAGTTCACCGTTTTAACTCTCAATATATCAGAGGCAGGCAGGCATAGAAAGGGTGTTTTTTTTTTTAAGTTTCTTTACTTATTGTATTATTCCTCCGTGTGCACGCAAGTGGGGAAGGGACAGAGAGAGAGGGGGAGAGAGAAGGAGAGAGAGAATCCCAAGTGGGCTCCATGCTGACAGCACAGACTTGGGGCTTGATCTCCTGAACCATGAGATCATGACCTGAGCTGAAATTAAGAGTTGGATGTTTAACTGACTGAGCCACCTAGATGCCCTGAAAGGGTGTTTTAAGGGCACATTGTAATTCCTGTTATTTCATTACAGATATGCTAGGGAATTATGAAATGATCAGTTTGAGTTCATTACTAATTCTTTTTATCCTGGAAGGTTTGTCCTCATTTTGTTCCATTAATGTCTCTTGTTTGTTCCATTTATGTCTCTGTGTTGAGAGTTTATAGTTAACTCACTTGAATTTTTCTCTAACTTTTATTTCTAGGCTTCATAGAGCCCAGTGTGCGATTAAACAGACTCAGGTAACTGTTCAGAAAATTGGAAAGGAAATTGAAGAAAAGCTAAGACTCACATCTACAAGCAATGAGTTGGTAGGTTTATATATATATATTTATTGTTTAGACTCCTTGATTGCTGAATGTTGATCATCATATTCTTCTTGTGTTAATTAATTTTTTTCCAAAAAGCTTTATTTAGGTATTTTTTCTTTTAATGTTTCACTGAGACTTATGTTGGCATTTAAATATTGGAAAACACTTTCCCATCTCTTAATGGAACATGCAAAAAAAAAAAAGGACCTGCCTTTTCTGCTAGATGAAACTTTAGATGACATACAATTACTTAGAAAATAATTAAAAGCTATTTTATTAATGTCTTACTAATGTGAACTCTAGACACAGACTATAGTGAATGGGAAATAGCTGCCAAAAGAAAAAACAAAAACCTTTAGGGACTAATCTCTGCTTAAAAGATGAACTTAAAATTATTTGGAGTAAACTTAATAGGCTGGTTTATGGACAGTGTTCTCTTTGGGGAAAGATTCCTTTGATGAGGCATTTCCAAAGAAATAGAAATTCCAACCCAAATGGACAGATTCAAGATATTAGTGTAATTTGGGGTTGCTCTAGACTCTTTTCTAAATTAGTTATTTTTAAAAATACTAATTTTGGAATAAAGATTCTATCTTTGAGCAGAATAGTGGGTATAACTAATAAATTGAACTTTTCTCGAAATGAAACCCCATGGCTATGGACAGCTTTTGATGATATCTGTGCTCAAATTAAGTCCTAACTAAAAAACTTTGAGTTGTTTTTTTGTTTTGTTTTGTTTTGTTTTTACTAACTCATTTTCACAGAGAGGCAGTATCTTCCAGTTGTCATTTATAGCGTATCAACTTAGGAAAAGACCTTTTTATCTCCAAACAAAAGTTCCATATCATCTTCAAGATTTGCCCAAGATAATAGTTTAATAGATGAATTATAGAAAAGCGATGCAATTAACCACTTACACGGACCTCCTCTCTCATGGACTTTGAAGTTAATGGATGATACTGTATTTAAACTATACGAAATTGCTGATTTTGACCTATAAATGGCAGTTTCATATAATTCAACCTAACATATAAAATGACTAGTGCTGTACCTGGCACATAGCAGGCACACAAAATATGGCAGCTGCAATAACTATAGTAGTAATATTTATTCATATGACTTTTCTTGCCTATGGAAAATCTTCCATTTTGGAGAAGCTGTTAAACCATGTCTTTCTTGTTTTAACTTAGGCTCAGTCAAGGAAGAAATTCCAGACCACAAACATATTGGAAAAGGAGAAAAAACCAGATAATTTTAATCCTTTCTGTAGTGTACAGAAATGCCACATTTTTAGAACCTTTGTCTGAGGAGAAATTGCTAGGGTTTTTTTCTTTCTTTCTTATTTTCGTCTCCCCAAGGCAAGACTGGGAAATTACTTATTCCATTAAATGACAGCATATGTTTTGTCTCAGTATGAAAAAATGTATGTTTAATCCTATTTTTCTAAAATATAAGTGGTGACACATAGAGCAAGGTGATAGAATGTGTGAGTTTAAAGAGGTCAGGTTCAGAGGTTCACTTTGTGTTTTTACGCTGCCTGGTCAACATAGAAGAGAATCATTGATTTTTGAACTAAAAGTGAACCTAGAAATCATCTACTTCCTGTATAACCCCACTAAAGCCAACCTTCCTCAGCACACTCAACCCCCTTCCCCATTTTATTTTTCTCCTATTATTACCCCTTAACATGCTATATACTTTGCATATGTACTTTGTCTGTCTCTCCAAACTCTACGAGGGTAGGGATTTTTGTCTGTTTTTCTTCACTGCTGTATTCACCATGTCTAGAAAAGTGACACATAGTAAGTGCTCAATAAATATGGAATTTAGGAATGAATCTAGCATGTTAAATAACAAAATTCAGCCAAGAAAATTTGAATTTCTATGTGGCTTTTTCAAATGACACAGGAATCAATTGGGCAATACCTTATCTAGCAAGTTAAATTGTACAAAATGGAAGGTTTTTATAGAAGGAGGGTGGGGCGAGAAAGTTATTAGCAAAAGAAGAGGATTGTTCCAGGCAAGTCCTGCCTCCCTGGGGGAAAAGCCAAGAGTCTTATCATGCAGATGCCTCATCTTTTTTGTGGGGATACAGAGGGCCTAAGGGTCAGACTCATTGGCAAAGACTGAAAAAATCCTAGCTGGCCATTTCCAGAGGAGGTTGAAATGCAGTTAGATTTCATAGTATGTACCAGTTTGGGAACTCCATCTAAGTGACACCATTCTGGGCCTGAAAATTTTCTTTCTTTTTTGTGAGCAAGCATACTCTCCTCCATACTACAGGATGGAGAATGAGGCCTGAAGGCAGGAAGCAACTTTCCCATAATCATTTCACAAGTAGAGGCAAATTTTGGTTTACTTGTCTTCTTTCGGGCAGTAATGCCATGTACTTGTTAATTTTCTACTTTGAGATTCACCTGTAGCAAATTAGAAACTTTACTGTTACCTTTTTTCCTCATTCCCTTTCTAAATCCCCAAGGTCATCATACTCCAACCCAGACAGTTTCAATTTTTAAGAATTGACTTTAATTTTAGCCTAAGTATAGTCAGTCAGAAGGTGTATTTGATGCTGAAAGAAATCAGATTACTTTGGGGGTCCCTGGGTGGCTCATTCGGTTAAGCATCCGACCTCGGCTCAGGTCATGACCTCACAGTTCGTGGGTTTGAGCCCCTCATCGGGCTCTGTGCTGACAGTTCAGAGCCTGGAACCTGCTTCAGACAGAGCCTGGAACCTGCTTCAGATTCTGTGTCTCCCTCTTTCTCTCTGCCCCTCCCCGACTAGTGCTCTGTCTCTCTCTGTCTTTCAAAAATAAATAATTGTTAAAAAACAGTAAAAAAAAAAAAGAAATCAGAGTACTTTGTAAGATCAAGTATAACTTTCTCTGTTATAAGAACTTGAGTTCATACTTGATGGCTTTTAAAAGATTTAGCATCTTCTCAAACTACATCAATGGCCAACGTATCTTTTTGACATTTATTTGTTTCTTATGAAATTTCTACTGTTGTCATCTTGAACTTTGCTCATATGTTTTGGATTTTGTCAAATGCCTTTCCTATATCCATTGATAATTGTATTTTTGTTTTTCTGTTTTCTCATATCATGGTGGTGAAATACATTGATGTTTGAATGTTAATCCAACTTTGCATTCCTGGGAAAAGCCCCTCTTGTTCATGAGGAAATATTTTTTATATGTATTGCCAGATTCAATTTGCTAAAATATTTAAAGGATTTTTGCGTCTCCATTCATTAAGGATATTGGTCTGGTCTGTAGTTTGTTTTCTTAGAATCTCTTTGTCTGGTTTTGTTGTCAGGGTGATGTTGGCTACAACCCAGTGAGTTGGGAGGTGCTTTTTCTTCTGTTTTCTGGAAGAATAGGTATAGAATTGGAATTATTTTTTAAGTGTATGGTAGAATTTACCAGTGAAGCTATCTGGACATGGAATTTTCTTTGTGTGTTTTGAACTAGGAATTTAGTTCTTTCATATTTGGGGGTTACTGAAGTTATCTCCTTCTTGGGTGAGCTTCAGTTTAGTAGCTTACATTTTTCAAGGATTTGTCTATTTCATCTAAGAGGTTATTCTCTTTAATTTTAGCTGTTCTTGAGGGTGTATAGTGTTTTCTTAGTTTGTAACACATTTCTATGGCAAACATTTTTCGTATCTTTATTGGTCACTTGTGTATTCTTTAGGAAGTGTAAATTTAAGTATTTTTGCCCATAAAAAAATAAACTATTTATATTTGCAGAAAATTTGCAAAGATAGTTCAGAATGTTTCCATATAACTTTCATCCAGTTTCCCCTAATATTAACCTCATCTATAACCTTGTTACATTTAACATTGTACAACATCAAACTAAGAAGCTAGCATTGATATGTTACCATTAACTGTGGGCTTTATTCAGGTTTCACCAGTGTTTCCACTAATGTCTTTTTAAAAAATAACTAGACTTTATTTTATAGCAGTAGTAGATTTATAGAATTATGACAAAGACAGTACAAAGTGTATACCCTACAGCCAGTTTCTCCTGTTATTAACATTTTACCTTAATGATACATTTATTATAATTAATGAACCTATACTGATAAATCAGCATTAACTAAAATCCATGCTTTCTTCAAATTTCCTTAATTTTTACCTAATGTTCTTTTCTGTTCCAGAATCCCATGAAGAAAACCATATTACATTTAGTAGGCCTGCTTCCTTTGACTCTTCTTGGTTGTGAAAATTTCTCAGACTTTCATTGTTTTTAATGACTTTGACAGTTTTGAGGAAAACTAGACAGGTATTTTATAGAATATCCTGTGATTGGGATTTGTCTGTTGTTTTGCCATGATTAGCCTGGATTCACTGTTCCAGTATCCAGCCCAGGATACCACATTGTCTTCCTAGGCTTCTCTGATCTATGACAGTTTCTCATTCCTTCCTGCATTTAAATCGCCATTACTAATCCCTGTTGATATTTACCTTAATCACTACTTGCTTACGGTGGTGTTCCCTAGGTTTATCCACTGTACTCTCCTTTGGAGTATTGTTTCCATACTCTTAATTTTTTGAAAGCAAGATACTACGTCCAGCCTACACTTCCAGTAGAGGGGACTTAGATTCCACCTTCTGAGGGAAGACTGCCTACATATGTTATTTAGAATTCTTTGTGGGGAAGATTTGTCCTGCCCCATTTATTTATTTATTCATCAGTATGGACTTTTATATATTTATGTTATACTTTAGGTTATAATCAAATACTGTGTTATTTATTTTCTTGCTCACATTGTGACATTGAGAGCTCTTTCAGGTTGGCTCCTATGTCCTTTTGACATGACTCTCTTTTTTATTTGTGTGCTTTTTAAAGCACTTTTAAAATTTCTGGCACTATATGATCCAGGCTCATCTTGTCTTTCCCCTCTTTCAACCCTGAATGAGCCATTTTTGCAAGGAGTCCTGTTCCTTCCGTTAGATAATGGTATTTAGAAACAAGATCTGGGTACTGGGTATGCTTGTGGCTACTGGGTTGTAACTGCTTCTAGGTCCTCGCAGTAGACAGAGCTGGTATACACAAGTATCTATGTGTGTATTAAACTGAACATGACTTCATATTGATACATTCAACTCTAACAGCACAGAGTTCATTCTTCTACCTCAGTTTGTTTATTTGTAGTATCTTTATTTCTGTTAGTGAGAAACCTAGCTCCTATTATCTGTAATTTATTTCCTTATTTTTTCACTCCTAGTATACATGTAAAGTAGTTTCATGTTTTTTCCCCTTATTTTTTAATGGGATTTCTGTCTTCTTGTGTTAAGGTTTGAGAGAGGAGAGGGGAACAGAGAAGGAGGAAGAGGGAGGGGGAGAGAGTGTGTGTATACGTATACTTTTGCATGTGTGTTTGTATTTTTCTTTTTTTTGGATACAAGTCCTTTTTTTGATATGCATGTTGGGAATATTTTCTGACATTCTGTGGCTTGCCTTTTCATGTTCTTAATGATGCTTTCTAAAGAGCAAAAATTTATAAGTTTAGTGAAATACAGTGTGTTTTTTAATGTTATTTTATCAGTAGGGCTTTTTGTTTTCTTTATAGGGAATCTTGGACTAACCTAAAATCGTATAAATTTCTTTAGTGGTTTTGTTTTTTTTTTTTTCCTAGAAGTTTTGTAGTTTTGGGCTTGACGTTTAGACCTATGATCCATTTCAAACTAGTTTTTTTGTATGAGTTAATAAGTGAGGTAATTTTTTTCTATATGAATATGCAGCTGATTTACCATCATTTGTTGAAGAATCTTTTCTTTACTAATTTAATTGTTTTGAAATGTCTTTCTAAAGTCAATTGACTAAATATGTGTTCATCTATTTCTGGATTTTCTGTTTGCTCCACTGATCTATATGTCTACCTTTCACCAATATCAAATTCTACTATTATAGATCCCTTGTTTTAAAACCATATATGGTTAGTCCTCCAACTTTGTTCTTGTTATCAAAATTCCTGTGGGTTTTCTAGGTTCTTTGTATTTCCAAGTGATTCAAGGATCAATTTGTCCATTTCTACCAAAAAAAAAAAAAAGGTCCTGTTGCAATTTTGATAAAGATTTGTAGATCAATTTGTGGAGAATTGCCATCTTAGCAACAACAGGTTGTCCACTCCATGAATAGGGCATATATTTCTTTCATTTAGATTTTTCTTTAATTCTTTCAATATCTTGAGAGATTTTGGACATCTTTTGTTAGAGCTGTTCCTACGTATTTTATGGGAGTTTTGGGGGTGCATTCTTGCAAATGGAATTGTTTTTGAATTTTTGTTTCTCATCTGTTTGTTGCTAGTATAAAAAATATAGTTCCTTTTAATTTATTAACCTAGTATCTTATAGCCTTGTTATACTAATTTTTTAGTTCTTGTAGTTATTTTGTGTATTTATTGGGATTTTCTATGTAAACACTCATACCTGCAAACTTGGACTGCTTTATGTGCTTTTTGTTGTTTATTTTTTGTGACTTATTTCAATAGCTAGAATGTACAGTACAATATTGAATAAAGGTGATGCAAGGGGAAATCCTTGTTCCCGATCGTAGGGGGAAATGAGTCATCCTTTCTTAATTAAACATAATGGTAGTAATGCCCTTTATTGGTGTTAGGAAGTTCCCTCCTACTCCCAGTTTCTGAGAGTTTTTATCATGAATGGATGTTGAATATTGTCAGATGCTTTTTCTGCATCTATTGAAATGACCGTGTGATTTTTCTCCTTAATTCCGCATACTTTAATTTCAGATGTTTAACATTACATTTCTGGAATAACTCTGAATTGGTTACAGTATATACTCTTTTTTTGTGTCTTGATAGATTTGATCTGGAAATAATTTAATGGTTTTTTTGCTATATTTATTAGGGATACTGGAGCACAATGTTTTAAATTACTTTATCAGATTGGTATTAGGATTATGGTAGCCTGGTAAAATTAGTTGAGCACTATTTATTTTTCCTATTCCATCTTGGCTAGAAGCAGAAGTCCCTGCTTTTAATATTTTTAATGTTTTCTGGTGCTCTGCTGAGATTTTATATCTTTTTATTCATTGTGAGAGTATTTTCCTTTTGTAGTACTTGGCTGAGATTTCATATCTGTTGATTCATTGTAAGGATATTTTACTTTTTCTCACTCAGCATATTTTTAATAGTGGCTTTAAAGTCTTTGTATGATAATTCTAACATCTGGGTCATCTCAGGGTTGCCATATGTGGGTTGTCTTTTCCCTCGAGATGAGTCCTATTTTCCTGGCTGTTCATATATGGGGTAATACTACATATTATCCTGGACAATGTGAATATAATTTTGTGGATTCTCTGGATTTTGTTACTTTCTTCTGAAGAATATCGATTTTTTATTTAAAAAAAATTTTTTTTAACATTTATTTATTTTTGAGACAGAGACAGACCGTGAGTGAGGGAGGGGCAGAGAGAGAGGGAGACACAGAATCGAAGCAGGCTCCAGGCTCCGAGCTGTCAGTATCGTAGCCCGACATGGGGCTTGAACTCACGAACTGCAAGATCATGACCTGAGCTGAAGTCAGAAGCTTAACTAACTGAGCCACCGAGACACCCCACAATGTTATTTTAGCAGGTAGTTACTTGGTTAGGTTCAAGCTGTCATGCTTGCAGTGGACATTGGCTCAGATCTCATTTAGTTCAGTACTTTTACCCTTACAGCTGCTTTCTGTTTTGCCTCATGCATATGTTGTTTATGATTCAGAGGTTCAGGTTGAATTTAAACAGAATCTGGGGTGCCCATTCTCTTGCTTCCTCCATTCTGATTGCCTGATCTCTTTCCCCTGGCTCTTCTGGCTAGAAAGATAGTTGTCTTTCATTGGAGTTTGACTGCAGTCACCCTCAGGACAAAGCTACAGAAAAGGGGAAATTCACTCTGTATGTTGGTTGCTTGCACCAGGCTCTGAATCTCTCCAAAATTTACCTGTCACTGATCAATCTCCAGAATTCTCATGTAGCAGCTTTTTGTATTTTATCTGGAGCCTGTAGCTATTATTTAATCAGAGGACCAGTTTCTTAGGTGCTCATTCTCTTAACAGCAGAAGTAGAACTTGTATATGTTTTATTATTATATATCTTTTGCTTTATCTTCCCAGCTGGATCTGGGTTCTAGGTCTGATATTGCCACTGTGTCTATGAAGTTAATAAATTGGATTATTTTCTTTTTTTGTTAATGTTTATTTATTTATTTAAAGTTTATTTAATTTTGGGGGAGAGAGAGCGTGCATGCACGTGCATGAGAAGGGGAGGAGCAGGGAGAGAAGGGTGGACAGAGGATTAGAAGCAGGCTCTGCGCTGAAGACAGCCCAGTCTGGGGCTTGAACACATGAACCATGAAATCATGATCTGAGCTGAAGTCAGCGCTTAACCAACTGAGCCACCCAAGTGCCCCTGGATTAAGTATTTTCTAAGGAAATTTTTTTCCCTTTTTCGGTGGTTGAGTAGCTGTAAGTGCAATAGAAACAACCTAGAAATGACATTTAAAAGTAAATTTGTTCCCATAGCACAACTGCCATAGTTCTAAAACTTTTTTTTTTCCAGATTGTTAATTATTTCCAGGTTTTGTGGGAAAACAAATATAGATGAGTGTTCCCTAATCTACCATGCTCAAACTTTTTAGTCTCAAGACTTCTTTATACTCTTAAAAATTATCAAGACCTCAGAGAACTTAGTGTGTACCTGTTGGTGATGCCTAGGTTAATAAAAGACAGATGGATTCTCACATTTATTTCGGCAATCAGGCTGTGAGGATACCACAAATCTTAGAGACTCTGGAAAGCTCCACCGTACAGTTATGAGAAAATGAGAATGAAAAAGGGAGATAATAGCTTAGTAGTATTATGAAAATATTTTTGATCTCACAGACTCTGAAATGGTCTTAGAAACTCTCGTGGTTTCCTGGACCATGCTTTGAGAACATTTCGCCTCAGGTTTTTAGCTCCAATGTGATCTAAAGAAAATTGTTTCCTTTAGTATGTCATTTACAAATTAGTCTGTCATTCTGAAATGAATCTTTTAACATTGCCTGTCATTGTCTTTGTAAATAGGAATGTGTGTGCTTGCAAATAGAGGAATCTACCTGTGATTTTCAGATCAGATACATGTTGTATAAAAACACTAAGCTCCAATGAATACTTATCCATTGGAGATGCACATGTGACATTAACTAGGAGTAAACAGATAAATAGAACACAGAAACCCATTAGCAGATACTTATAGAACATTAGGGTCTTTGAGCACTTGTGTTAGATGAGTTAGAAAAGAAGCAGAACCAGATCCCACTTGGTCAGGTTTGTTTACTCTTCTCATCAGAAATTAGAGCCAACCATCCTGGTATTGAATGACTTGATACAGTTCTGTAAATGGGCCAGTTTCTGCACATGGACCATAACACAAACACACTGTAAACATGCCTTCCTGTATTAGTTTAGTATTTAGATTAACTTGTACCCTTGGTGCTTTGATTCTAGAAAATATTTCCTATTTGAGTGTGTACCCTGGAATAGAGCAGATTAACCCTCTGTGTAGGCATATCTGTGTTCTATAAAAAGTTGCTTCACTTTTTTTCTGTTGTTTCTTTTTTCCTCTGCCCAGGTAGAATTCGGTTTACATATTTTGTGGAAAAATGCAAGTTACAAAAATTGAACACTTAACTTCTTTGTAAAAAAAGGACTGTTTCCTAAGAATTTGTGTATTTTTTCTCTCAGTGATATAAAAACACCCTAGCCTGTCATGATCATACTATTGAATTATTAAAGAAATCCAAATTGTTTCTTGGTTCCTTTTTCTTTAATGATAAACAACCACACTGTCTTTGGTCTTTGTTTTTACATTTGGTTGACAGGGCAAAATGGCTTTTATCTCCA